CCTGGCCAGGCCCGACTCTCCCCTTGGTGGGTTATCCCCCAACCCCCCAAAAGTCACTCTGGGTCCTTTCCGCCCCAACCGTGGTTGCAGGTCTCCCAGTCCTGTTGATTCATTGCCCCTCCCAACTCCTATTCCAAGGGGGGGTCACCAGCGTCGTCTGACCGCCAGCTAGCTTCCACTGCAACCGCCATTGCCGCCGCCACCGCACCATCGTCGCCAACCCCCGAAAGAGCCTGGTGACGTCCCAGAGATCTTCGGGGGGTGCCCGACACGTCTTGCAGCTCTTCGGGCAGCCTCCCTGTGCCTAAAAACTCGCCGCGCGGCGGGTGCCTCCGGCACAACGCCGCTCCAATTAACCGATGGCCTCCGGCTGTGAAAAAACGCTGCCGATGCCCAGCTGATCAGCCTGACGCTCCTGACATCGTGCCTTCCTCTCTGCTCAGTCACGGAGGGAAAGAAGACCCTCTCCGTGCTGGCAAGGAGCTCCCCTGACTGGTCCTGGGGTCATAGATCTTCAAAACGACCCCCAAAGGACCCAAAGGGTAGGTCGGCGCCCCGTCCTCAGATCGCGATCCCAGCGGACGCCGCCATCTTGGACATGCGCAAAAAAAAAGGTTAGTCTATGACAAGAAAGTAGATAAGGCTTTTAAAAGTCATATATTAAGAAATTCTCTATTGCGGGTCTGGAAAAAGTACAAATATAAATTAAGTGATAAGTTACCAATATGGACAGTACCCAGACACGCGATAGAGAATATAAACTTAGAGCAAAAGCAAGATAAGATTACATATAAGGAACTTCTTTATAAGGAAGGAGTCAGATTACAGTTAAAACCAATGGAGCAATTAAGAGAAGAAGGAATTATTAGGACATGGTTTCAGTATGGACAGCTGCAGGCCAGATGGAGAGAAGATCAAAAAATTGGTATTTTGCAGCAGGATGAGAATTTGATAAAGCAAACAAGAGATAAAGGTCAAATGCATATAAAAAGGTTGTATAATGCACTAGTGGAAATAGATTCAGAAACAGAGTTAGTCAAGGACTGTATGATAAAATGGGCACAAAACGTAGGTGAACCAATAATGATGGAAACATGGGAAAAGATATGGGTCAGAAATGTAAGATTTACACAAGCACAAAATTTAAGGGAGAATTTTTATAAAATGTTTTATAGATCGCATTTAGACCCAAAAAAATTAGCCTGTATGTATCCAAATTTACAACCTAAGTGTTGGCGATGTGAGTGTAAAGATGCTACATATTTTCATATATGGTGGACATGTAAAAAAATTAAGGCTTTTTGGATAAAAATATGGTGGATTATTCAAAACGTTTTAAAGAAAAAAATTAAATTTACACCACAGTTCTTTTTGTTGGGAATAGTCATGGATTGTACTGTAATAGAGACTAAGTTGGTTTTGAACTTAATAACGGCTGCCAGGTTACTGGTGGCACAGTACTGGAAGAAGGAAGATCCACCCACCATTGAGGAATGGACATTAAAAGTTGTGCATTTGGCAGAAATGGCAAAAATTTCATATCTTAAAGACCATTCAAATGAAAGATATATATCGGAATGGAGAAAATGGATCGATTATATACAGAAGAAGTATCCGAATAAGAAGATTCATATAGCATATGAATGAAGTAACTGAGTAGTTTATGTTTGTTTTTTGAATTATAAGGAGTTAAGGATCTAGGGAGAATATGAAATGTAACAATTTGTTAGCATATTCTAGCTTTTGATTTGTGAATGCTATATCCTGTGCTTGTTCTGGGAAGTCTAGGGAGGGGGTGGGGGGGAAGGAGGGAAAAGGGGGGTGGGAAAGGGGAGGGAGGGGTTGAGGGGGAAGGGTGGGGGATGAAAATGTTTGTACTTTCTATAAAACTTTTTAATAATAATAAAAAAAAGACCAGCTTGCTGGTGCGCATGCGCATGCCGGAAACCAGATCATCTTCCCAGTATGCACATGTGCACCGGATGGCTGCTCTTCCGGTTTACAGCGTGCACATGCAAACTGTCAGTTGGTTTCCACACGTGCATGTGCACCAGAAACCAGAAGGGCAGCCACCTGGCACACGCATCAGGGGGCTCCTCTTCTGGTTTCTGGCACACACAGGTGCGCGCCCATTTCTCCCAAAAAGGTTCACCAACACTGTCCTAGTAATCCATCAGGTTTCCCCATGTCTTAAACTCTTTAATTTCAATGATAATTCCATGTATTTGTAAGCCATTCTACTTAGCAATCTTCAAAAGTCTCAGAATTTATTCCTCCTTAGCAGTGAAGCAAATAGATATAGAACAGTATGCAAAAGGGCAGTCTTCCAGGTGTTGTTTGTGTCCACTCTGGATTATCAGTCCTCAGATTATTTCAGGGACATTCCCAGTCTTGTAAAAATATAATGTATATTCTTTCATCAGTAGATGGCACCATCGCCTAACATTTCAATGTTGCACCCAATGTGACAGCTGAAAATCTGTTCCAATTTTCTTCAAGCAATTTCTTCCAATAATCAACCAAATATTTCCAGCATTTTAAAATGCCTTTTCAAAATATTACCAATAGAATATTCAAGTCCAGTCTTCCTGTATTTTAAAAATTTTGTATTCTCCCTTAGGTTTCATTTTCTTTCAGGTCAGTAATCTTTCTCTAAGTATTTGTTACCCGCTTTTTTACCACTTTAAAGAGTCTATCTTTTTGGAATTTCTTTTCTTTGGGATTAGATCTCTAGTATAGAAGTTGAAAATCACCTCACCCAATTCCAGTACACTGTTCATGAACCGCTCCTGCACATTTCTTTCTTCAGTTGTTCCAGCTTCATGGTGGCCATAATGGCTGCATCTCCATTGTTGGCTGGGAGGGAGCCTCGGATCAAGCAAGAGAGCTGCTGCTCCGCAACCTGCAAGATGCCCCTCCTTTCTTTGTCACCCCTTCAGGGTGACTTTAGCCCTTTAAGGGCCCTCCAACGAGGAGGGTTCAGCCTAGGTTCATGTAGCCCCGCTCTCTACAACTGTTCCGCAGTGATGCCAAACCAGAAGTCAGAAAATGAATTCTTTATATAGTATAGAACTTAGGGATTTATTTCTAGTCTGTTCTTTATTCTGTTACTCACATGCTTTTTCTGTTTTTTGTATATTCATTTATTAAAAACAATTTATCCTGTTTCTATATTAATCTTTTAAAAAATTCACATATTCTACATATATATATGCATTTTGAAAATATTTTCTCCCAAAATATAGTGTCTGAAAATACTCAGCATGCTTTACTGTAGGATATTAATTTAGCATTTTAAAAATACTTTGAAAAAAAATGCACTATGAAATACAGGGAAGCTAAATGTCTGTGGAAATTTTCAGTCATCCAGTTCCTCTTGAGAAAAGCATCTTTGGGACAACCATGACCTGGATGACTGAGAATCTCCATAGATAACCAATCAGATATTGCAGCACATGTCTTTAATGTAGAAACTGAGGTTATGTCAGTCTGAGTCAGCATGCAACCAAATCTAATTCAATAAGTATGCCTAGTTGGGATAAAAAGTTCAATACTGTCACACTGGTTAACATACATTAACTTCTGTTATGCTATCCAATCTTAATTAGATATTGGCTGTGCTGGAATATGATAGTTATGTTTTCACTAGTTTACAAGATTCAGAAATAATTGGCTTTTCCTTAACATATAAGGAAATCATTCTTTCTGTCAGTGTAACAGAATCTACTTGGAAAATAATGTCTTGGCACCTTGATATTTGCAGAACTCTCTTCTTCTACTGAACCAACATATACTCTTGACAAGGCAAGTTGTTTCCCAATTTCATAATGTGAAGAAGGACAAAACTAGAAGGCCTACTTCTTTTGTATAATCCTAATTTCATGGAACAGCCTCCATTAAATCCACAATTAGTTTCTCTTTCAGATCTTTCTAGTATATGACATCCAGAAAGCAGATTGCACAACAGATGCAGCGATTCATAACCCACATTTGAACTGCATGGCACATTTGATACCAGAGTATGATCTTCAAGCTCAGTCTTGCTCCTAAGGGGAGATATTTTATGAGTCCACAAGGCAAGAGCTCAGATCAATGGTCCACACAATGCTCTATACACTCAGAAATTAGATGTAGGGTGCGTCATTATAGGATATATCTGTCCAGGCAGCATACACAAACGAACCTCTATTAACAACATGCTCACAATCCCATTAGAGAATAGACATTCTTCTATTTTTCAGCCAAGCCACAACCAATTCCTCTTAAAGGAATCACTGCACATTACCCATTTGCCTTGTCCCTTCATAGGCCCCTTTAGTGACAACCTCACCTGTGACAGTGACCAAGGTCATTTAAGGTGCACAGTCTTCCAAAAGATGGAAGATGACAATCGGGTGGCAATATCTACTGACAACAAACTCCCTTTAGAAATGACAGAGCAGGGATTAGTCAAAGAAGATACTGACAACCGGGTCACCCCTCTTGCCTTCATATCACAGAGGCAATGCCTAACAATAAAGAACAAGCTGTAGCCTGCTCCTTGTCACAGCCTCCATCTATGCCACTCATACCTCAGAACCTGTGGACAACACCATAGCTCAAATGGCGCAGCAGCCTAAAACCACACCACAAACATCAGCAAGGTTCAAAAAGCAATTGAACCAATCTTCTGCAATGTATTCCATAGTATCTGTTCAACCGAATGGTGCTGGATATACATCAGATGACCTCAGCAATTCTAAGGGAGAAGCTAGCAATAGGATGTTATATTCCAGATTTAGATCACTGTCAAGTTCCCAGAAGTCTCATTGGAAACTGCAGTAACCCTAACCCTAACCCTAAGCACTCCGTGGGCTGGATCTGGCTCACAGGTCTTGAGTTCGATAACCCTGAATTAGAGTTTTATATAATAAGTAGGAATTAAGCTGGCTGTTAGGGCTAGAAAAAACTGTTTTAAGCATGCATACAAAACAAGAAAAGTTGTTTCTCTTCTCCTTCAGCATATCCAGAATGGGTGGAACATATTAATGATACCGAAAGAGATATTGGCAGTGAATTCCATTGGCCATGTATAGCTGCAGGCAAGCCTATTCCAACAATCCGGTGGCTGAGAAATGGATTACCGGTAGGCTTAACTTATTTATGAATCACAAAATACTATCTTTAATGGTTAAAAAGCAAGAATAAATTGATACAGTTCTTTTGTTAAATAATGTCCAAGTGAAATAAGTTTCCAGAAATGAACTTTTACACCATAAATGTTTTAGAAACACATGTATTTCTATTTAATTTATTTTTGAAACCATCTTATTTTTCTGTGAAAATGTTGTAAGTGTTTGTAAAACTCTTTATTATAGCTTTCTATGGCAGAACTATGGAGAACGTAGTTATTAAGATGAAGACCATGGTGAATTCTGCTTGTTTTGCCTAATTCCATTCATCCTGGGCAGAAGCTTACACAAAAATTAAAACATTCATACTTGATTTTGTTTAACAAACTTATTATTTTGTAAATTATGTAATTGGAAAGGGAGGGAATAAGATTCTCTTCCCGTGTGCAAAGTTTCTCCATCTTGATTAGGTTACTATGCTGGCTGTGGTGGAAACTGCAGACTATTAAGATGTATATCATAAATTGGCCAAGAAAAAATGTCTTAAATAGACATTGGATTCTCCCTTAATTCTCAGAATTGGAAAAACAAATAAAAGAAACATGGAAATGTTCACTGTAGTGTTATTAAAGCTATCAGATCTGCCTTTCTTAGCTTAGGGGGGCGGGGGCTTTGCTCACAGGCATTCTGCCATAAAAAGAAGGAGGGGAAGGATAAAAGGGGGTGGAAGGATGAAAGAGGGAAGGATGAAAGGGCAATAAAGCTGTGTGTGCATGTGATAGAAAATCAGGAGGGGGCAATGACAGATGAGAAGGACCAGAGCAGCCAGATCCTGTTTGTACCAGCATCCCATGGCCAGACACCCTGAGAAATATGTGGATTACTCCACAAACACCTCAGAGTTCTCAAAACATCTTGGCCAAGCTCCAGTTGGCTGGAAACAGATTGGTCACGGGAGGGAGGAGGGAGGTGGGGAAACCTATGCCTTATTTTTGTATCTAGTGAGAGCGGTACTTTCAAAGCTGACTTGACTTTATTGCAACAACCACTCTTAGTAAAAGAACACTTTGCTTTAACCAAATGTAGTTGAAGACTTTTCTTTTCCAAGGGATTGGATTGGGGCATGTCTGATATTAAGCCAGCTCTGCAGTTGTGGTCAACCCAGAGAGGAAACCGCCTCTACTATGGGAAGTGTGCAAAATATGTCGGCTCAAGAGAGCGACCAGGAAGGGATCAAGGCCTGGGGGGAAGCATGCTTGAAACCCCCTCCTGAAGGGCTGGATCTATCCAGATGGCTGGGAGAGGACAACCCACCAAGACCTGGATGATCCCTCTGAGTCAGGAAAAAGGAAGAATGGGAAGAGAAACCGATGGGAGTGACATTCACATGTGCAGACCATGGCAGCTACCAGTGAGTGGAGTTGGAGGAACTGGAGGAACATTCAGGCAAAGGCAAGTCAGGAGTGAGAGGACTGGATGCTGGAGCAGGTCATAAATTTCATGAGGGGGACTTTTGGTAGTCTCAAAGCTTGAGAAGCCCTAGCCTGGGTAGCACATCCTGCTGATCAGCCAACTCCAGCAACAGCAAGCGAGGGGGCAACTACTTCTGCCTCAGCAATGATGGCAGCAGCAAGCCCGCTGGCAACTGCAACTGCCCCAGCACCTGGCCCTGCAGCCAGCCTGCACCAGCTGGAGGACACAACCAGCAGGTGGAGAAGATGCAAGACACCAGCCTTGGGAGTAAAGTTCACTGGAAACTCTAAGCAATTGGGATTCTTCCTGGCACAAGTTTGGACAATCATGCAAGAGTATGTCCAGAAATAGTCACCAAAGGGACTAAGGTGTGGTGCATGATTGTGGTATTAGAGAAGGCCACAGCTGAATGGATGGTCACCCTCCACAATGATGATCTCCCTGAGCTCAAAAACTTTGACTGCTTCATGGCGGCACTTTGAAGATCCTCTAGCCGACCGCAAAGCCAGAGATCGCATAAAAACAATCAGCCAAAGTCGCAGAGGAGTGGCTGAGTACATCCAGGAGTTTTGCGACCTGGCCTGTCCTACTGGCCAGAAGACATCGATTGGATGCTTCTGAGATAGGCTAAGGGACGAGGTCTACAACATCTGCATTTCCGAAGTGCCCCACCTCCTCCATGGCTGGTATGTTCTAGCAGAGGAAGTGGAAATTGACCTGGCCTGATCCAAATATCAGCCAAGCCGTAGATGGAAAAGATCCCCCCCTGAAAAAAAAAGAGCCCCCAAAACCGGCACCATGTGAATAGAGTGTCAAGGTTCTGACTAGTGAACCCAAATGAGTCAGCACTCTTTCAGCTTCCTCAAAGAACTGCTTTATTGAGTACATCATTTTAGCATGAATGATTTAAGACCAGCTCTGGCCGTTTCCTGAGCTTTCAATATAATTAAAGATTAGACAGCTCCCTCCCTCCTTGTCATTGGTCACATTGTCCAGTTAGGTATTCTGGCATCTCCTTCCAGTCTTTGGCAGCACCTGTTGGGATGATCTTGGTTCCCACAAGATAATAAGTTGTTGATATCTGGTCTGACATTCCAAAGTGTATCAAGCTGAGAAATGGCTGCGATGGGTCTAATCTATTTCAAAGTTGACAGTTGGATCCCCCTAAAGAATAAGAAGTACCTGGAAAACATCAAGCACATGTACACATTAGCAGTGGCTGACTTGGTGGAGGACCTCCTGGTTTTGGGGGGTACTGCTTGTGAAACTTTTTTTTATTAAATGGTCCGCTTTCATATCCCTTGCCTTCACCCATCTAGCCTCTGCTAGTGGATATCATTTCCATTGGACCAGATATTGAAGTTTACCTTTCTGTAGCCTGGAATCCAGGACCCTCTTGATTTTGTAGTGGGTTTCCCTGTCCACAGCTATTGGAGCTGGAGCTAACCTTGCTAGTGGCTTTAGTTCTGACCCTACCACCAACTTCAGCAGACTACAATGGAACACTGGGTGCGTTTTCCCCAACAAACGAGGCAGTCTCAATTCTACTGTCACTGTCAATTATTTTTACCATTGGGAAAGGTCCTATGAACTTTGGACCCAGCTTCATACCGGGTAGTTACAATTTCAGGAATTTTGTGGTGAAGTAGACCTTCTCCCCAATGGGAAATGGCCTCTGGGGTTACCATCACTTATCTCATTGTGCCTTCTGCATTTCTGTTGCTTTAACTAATGCCTGTTTTACATTCCCCGATGCATTTTGTAAGGAACCACCCATTCCATTAGGCTCACTGAGGAGGGGGGTTCCTGAGGGTATTCCGGCATGGGGACAAATTCCACCCCTATGGCTATTTTAAAGTGGGTGAGTACTATGCACGGTATTATTGTAGGCAACCTCAGCAAATGGCAGGAGATCTGCCCAGTTAGATTGCTGATAGTTAACATAGCAGCTCAGATATTGTTCTATCATTGCGTTAGCACATTCCACCGCTCCGTTTGTACTCGGATAAAAGGCGGAACTAAACCCTGATTACAGACTAACTGAGTTGGAAGGGACCTTGTAGGTCATCTAGTCCAACCCCTCCCCCGCCCAAGCAGGAGACCCTACACCATTTCTGACAAATGGCAGTCCAATCTCTTCTTCAAAGCTTCCAGTTATGAAGCTCCCACAACTTCCGAAGGCAAGTTACCATTGGTTGATTGTTCTCACTGTCAGAAAATTTCTCCTTATTTCTAGGTTGAATTTCTCCTTGATAAGTTTCCATCTGTTATTCCTTGTCTGGCATTCAGGTGCCTTTGAAAATAGCTTGACCGCTTCCTCTCTGTGGCAGCCCCTCAAATATTGGAACACTGCTATCATGTCTGCCCAGGTCCTTCTCTTCCCTAGACTAGCCATGCCCAGTTCCTGTAACTGTTCTTCATATGTTTTACTTTCCAGTCCTATAATCATCATGGTTGCTCTTCTCTGCACTGTTTCTAAAGTCTCAACATCTTTTTGTGACCAAAACTGGATGCAGTATTCAATGTGTGGACTTACTAATGCTTTATAGAGTGGTATTAGTATCTCCACAAGCTTGTGTAAACAAGGCATTAGGAACTCTAGCTGACCAAATTATGGAGGCTGAAGCCAAATACCCAGATTCACTGGCCATTATTCTGGGAGACTTAAACAAAGCAAACTTAAAGAAAGAGCTTCCAAAATATTTTCAGCATGTCAATTGTCCCATTAGAGGCAAGAATACTTTAGACCATTGCTACACAACTCTAAAATCCGGATCGGATTGGACTCTGACTGGGCAGAATCCAATCTGGAGACTAAGGTGGGTCTTGAAAATAATATCTGGATTGAGTTTGACCCTGTTTCTGTCAAGGAAGTGGACAGGATTGTGGGCAAACTTAGTTCCTCCACTTGCTTATTGGACCCTTGTCCCTCCTGGTTGATTTTGGCTGCCAGGGAGGTGACTAGAGACTGGATCCAGGCAATTGTCAACGCTTCGTTGAGAGAGGGGAACTTCCCCGCCTCTCTTAAGGAGGCGGTGGTTCGACCTCTCCTCAAGAAGCCTTCCCTGGATCCAGACTCACTTAATAACTATCTGGATCCGTTCCAGTCTGGTTTCAGGCCTGGGCACAGCACGGAAACGGCATTGGTCGCATTGGTTGATGATCTCTGGAGGGCTCGGGACAGGGGTTGCTCCTCTGTTCTGGTCCTGTTAGACCTCTCAGCGACTTTTGATACCATCGACCATGGTATCATGCTGCACCGGTTGGAAGAGTTGGAGATGGGGGGCACCGTGTTACGGTGGTTCTCCTTTCTCTCCGACCGGTCGCAGTTCGTGTTGGCAGGGGGGCAGAGGTCGACCTCGAGGCCTCTTATATGTGGAGTGCCTCAGGGGTTGGTCCTCTCGCCCCTCCTGTTCAACATTTATGTGAAGCCGCTGGGCGAGATCATCCATGGCTTTGGGGTGAGATACCATCAGTACGCTGATGATACTCAGCTGTACATCTCCACCCCAGGCCACCCCAACGATGCTCTTGAAGTGAT